CAAATGAAAAACGGTCTGATCAGCTACCCATTGGTTCTCGAGTAAGTAGTATGCTTGTGTTCTATCTGTAAGATGCCCTGCTCGATCCTCAGTTGGGTCGATGGATTTGCGTTGCTGATGAGGCTCAATCATGTCAAAACAGCTGTACAGTGCTTTCTAGCGTTTTAGTGTGCGTTTAATTTTCTTTGTATATGACGGAAATTATCCACAACCCAAAGAACGCTATCACGGTGCCAGCCACCCGAAGAATTATCTGAGAAGTCTAATTGACTGTCCTCTCTCACAGAGAAAAGTCCGAGTAGATGAGCAAGTAAATCTAACGAAGACGAGTGGAAACCGCCTCAAGAACATGCTGATCAGGAAAATTGGCAGCCCAATCAGGTGACGGGGCATAACGGTACCCAGGACTGGTGAACTGTTTCGAGAATGTAAGAACCGCCTGACTGAAAATCGGTTACCAGTCAACTATGATGTTGACACATCACTCTGCTGCTTGCTGATGAGGCTTTGGTTAACGGAGGCTCGAGATGCAAAGCACCGAGAAAAAAACATCTGCCTCGATTTAGACAAATTAGCGGTATCACACCTACGAACAAATCATGTATTGACCTTTTTGTTAAAAATATGTTGGTATAATTATGACTTGCTTGAATCATTTAGAACCTAAACAAGTGTCCAACCATAGCACATATCAAATCCTGGGGAACATGCAATTCTGTTGTTTTGTAACAGCATTCAACACAGAGCAAACAAAGGAATCACGGAAATAGGTTATCGAGATGCCAAAACCTCACCTTCCAATTCGCACTGCAAGTATTCCTTGATTGCATTGAATGCCTTTTCAGTTACCGCACGCCCGGTCGATTTGGATAGATCCTCCCCTTCCAAACCGACTGGGATGGTACTCAGCTCATCGATTGAACTGATCGATGCTACAGGGCTGGCAGTGTCCGGTTCGTTCGTGGCAGACATCAGTACATGCTAGGATAGTGGCGTGTGTGCTAAAAGGAGAAGAGGAAAAGAAAGAAATCTGACTAAGAGAAAAACATCTTGCTTGTTATTTCTTTCCTTTTTAGGCAACTGAAGAGCCCACGCTTGGGCCTGCGCCCAATCCCAGATCATAGGAATCTTGTGCAAATTTACAGTAAACAAAGTTTACTGTCTGAGAGGCTACCTGTTGTTCTGCTCCCAGCACGTGGAAGAATTTCTTTAGTTTTGGACGATCTATGCTACGGCTTACGTTCGTCCATGATTTTTTGACCGTATCCGACGAAAATCGGGTCACTGTTTCCCTAGATGGAACAGATGGAAAACGCGAACGACAAACATTTGCCCGTTCCGTAAAATACGGTGAAATGCACATCATTGATCGCTGCCAAACTCACAATACACAGAAAGTTAGTGAGAATGTGTAACGCAGACAAGGATTAGGCCTATTTATAGGGAGGGGGAAAGAAAGTGAACCTTTATGGTCAACACACCGAGTATACGATTCAACTGCAAATGCATACCCTTTCAAGCATTCTGGGCCGTCACTGCTGTGGGTTCACTGTCATCCTTAGTGGATTCATCCAAACAGATACCGTCATTTGGACTTCAACCCAAAAGATAAAAGACACGTACCCTCCACAATGGCTGTGTGAATTATTCAATAGACTTTCAAAACTTAAGAGGTGCGTTAACTGAGTCAATTACTTAGGCGAGATGGAGAGTTGTGAGTGCACCCTAGTCACCATCCATGCAAGTGGAGATCAGGAAGGAGCTCCAAGTCCTGAAAACCCCAAAGGCGACTGGATCCAACAAGCTGCAGCCGGTCCTTTTCAAAGACAGCGGGGAATTTCTCATGGGAGGTATCTTGCCAGATTGTTCTCTCAGATTTGTGAGGAAAACAATTGTGCCCGGTACATGGAGTGAATCAAATGTACAACCCAGTTCCAACCACGGGGGCAAAAGTCGGATTCTAATTTCGCCGAAGCTGTCAGAGTTCATTCTCTTAGGTCTGTATCGTGAGAGACAAATCTATGAAGAGCGAGTCGAGTTTCGTGGACAACGTGCTTGCATTGATCAAATAATCTCACTTCGTCAACTTCTGGAACACCGCCACATATACAGGTGTTTTTGGATATCAGAGCGGCCTTCAACCCCATTGATCTCTTGTCTCTTGGACTTGTTTGATGAAATCCGGATTACCCGAGAAGCACTGCATCTGAAACGCTATCGTCAAACCTTGGGATAGGCTGGAGTCTATGGTAAACTCATCCCCGTTTCCTGTTACCAGTGGTGCACTGCAGGATTGCCCTATTTGTCCGTTTCTCTTTTACTTAGTCATAGATGATGTCCCTCTTAAGAGCAGAACTGTATACTAATGAGCGCCTTCCTAGGTGGCGCATAGAAAAAGAGCCACCAACTAGCGACTAGACAAGACTAATATGGGTTTGTGCTCACTGAAAAAAGAGAACTGACGATTCGCGGGGGCGCGTTGAAGGATGCAGAGGGTTAATCAGTTCGTAAGTGTAGTCTGCACAAAGCAGATGAACCTTCTGATACGATACCAATGCACCTTGACGTTGTGTGATGGCTTGTGAACCTCCGTGACGCAACGAGCTACACAGGATGGCTTTGGCTGGGCCAAAGATCTAATCATACCTGGAAGGTCAGTGGATAGAGGTCAGACAAAGTCCAGTCACTTGGTCCTCCAGGTTGGGGGTTCGACTTGAGTTGGCGTCTCAGTCGGGAAAGTGTTGGAGGAGCGATTGATCAAAGTTAATGGGTCTCCAATCCACCTTACCCGCTACCTTGCGATTAGGTTCAGAAATAAAGGCTTTGGTTGAGAACCCTAATCGTCCTCCTACTTAATGGTTGGACTCCCTGACAGTACCAGTCCATAAAGCTCCAATGCATAAACAAACTAAAAATAATTTCATATTGCTTTGGTCGTCGCGCAGGATAATCAAGACCGCACTGTTCATTGCACCGAACTGGGTGGATAGTGATAAGTGGACTACTGCTCAGATATCCCAACCTTTGTTTAACTCTTTGTCTTCAGTACCCAACCCTGTCCCTTTACCCCTTCTTCCGACCCGTAACGTCCCCTCAGACAACTTGGTCGTCACTCGCCAAAGATCGTTGCCAAATAGCACCAGTAAAAAAGTGCAGATTCTGAAACGTTGTTAGTCACTGAATCTGAGAGCCTTCAACCTGTGGGTCAACAAGCGCGTACAATGAACTTTTTAGAAATTGATTTCTGTTGCGTATCGGAGACACGAATTCAGGATCCTAGTGCTATAAACCACCTGAGTGCACCGGGTATCCTCGAGGTATTTCCTTCGTACATCAGGAGACGATAAAGCCCGATCACTGGGTCAGCGTGGTGTAGCGATCGTACTAAACGAAGAATCTGAAGCCTCTATGATGGATTACATACCCGTCAATAGTCGTTTGTGCGTAATGAGGTTCCAGGGTTCAGTTAGTGATCGGAAGGGTAGCAACACCAAAAGGTGTTTATTTATCGTTTCCGCATATTCACTAACCAGCTGCAGACCCACATCAAAAGGGACCAATTTTACGACAAACTCGCCGAACTCATTCAACTGAGCTGCAGCTAGGATATTTTAGTGCTGGCAGGTGATTTTAACGTGCATCCGAAACCCGTCTAGGGGGCACTTCGCTCTGCTCGCCCAGCGAACGGACAGCGATGAACGGCTACTTCGGTTCCGTGTGGCTCATCGACACAGCTCTCGTCGAACGACTACATGGTGTTTTAGTTCGACGGAAAAATTGTACGCATATATATATATATATTACACATGTGTGAGCTCAGACTATGAGCAGAAAAAATCATGGTACAGTACGTTATCTTTGCAAAAATGAAAACGGTCCATAAATATATATATATGTGGATGCGTGTGTGAAGTTGTGCTGAAACTGGAGCAGGTTCATGATATTCAATTTGCTTATCCCTACCAAAATCGATCTTTAGGAATGCGATTGCGATGCTGAGGTCAGACAGTAACAAAAATTTACATAACCCTGCCTGCGTAACACGATACTGTTTTGTCATTCATGTTCCTCCCGGATCTCGTTAGTGTTGTTTCGCATGGAGGCGGATAGGTGGAGCTAGGCGATACGACGGTGACTGTTTGGCGATCCGACCACTTTGGTCAGCTAATTACGTGCCCATGAAGTGATTTATGTGAGAGACGATCGTAACAGCCGTTGAACATGGAGAAAACAAATGCCAGATATCTAGGCTTTATTCAACATACAAATGGACGACAGGGGCTGAAAAGGAAAAAAAGGAAAATTTAGAGGAATAAGTACAAAGTAATGTGAAACAACAAACAAGAGCGTAACATAACATTCACCCCCGCAGATAGTTTTGGTCGGAATGTTTATATGTGAAAATGTTCTATGCTTCCTGATTGCTCAAATTATAGGGCTGGGTGCGTTGTTATGCTTTTTACCAATGGACGTGTCTCGGGTTCTGTATTGTGTGGATCTGTGTTTTGAATGACGGGTGGAAAAATGTTCGTGGTGCTTGTCTCATCGGAATTGCTACTCTCTGTATGAGGGGGTTGAGAATCGCATTCGGGGATTGAGGATTCATTGGGTTCTGGATACATAGCCGTTGGTAACTCAGAAACTTGACCTCTGGGAGCCAGGTGGTGTATTGGTACAGTATCTTCTTGCCCATTTGGGAAACGGATATGGGCGTACTTGGGATTACATTGAAGTAATTCAACTTCGTCCACCAGGAGGTCGGTTTTTGTTAATCTTATGGGTCTAAGACAGGTCCAGGAATACTCAACCAAGTCAGTATAGAGACTCCTGATGCAGATTTGCGATGATAAGAAAACAATCGCGCGTGTGGGGTCGCATTGGTGGCTGTACACAGTAGTGATCGAATAGAGTGGAGCGCTTCCGGAACAACGGATTCCCACTGAGTACACGGCAGACCCTTCGATTGCGCTGCTAGAACGATAGTCTTCCGAAGGGTCCCGTTTAGTCTCTCAACTTGTCCGTTTGAATGAGGGTTGTAGACTGTCGTTCTGCTGGAGACAATACCGTCGTTGTGAAGGAAATTCTTAAGCTCATCGGATATGAAGGACAAACCCCTATCAGAATGTATGTAAGAAGGCATATCAAAGATTGAGAATAAATTGGTAAGACACTGAATGACTGTAGCAGCTGATAGGGTAGAGCAGGCATAAGCAAACGGGAATCGAGAGTAATCGTCCGCGATCGTCAACAAGTTTCGGTTTCGAGATTCTGATGGAAGCGGACCTTTAAAATCAATATTCAGCCTCCCGTAGGAAATTTACAGAACTGTGGTTTCCACCTAGCACAGATTGAGCAACCGCTAGTGACCGATTTAACTTCATTGACTGAGTAAGAGAGATTCTTAGTTCGAAGCATTCGCACGATTCCGGGATGACACAGCGAGTAATGTAGCTGCTTGAATGGTTCAAGTGATGTGGACACTGAGCAGAAGCTATGAGACAATGAGTCAGCCGCCACAGTTGCGTGTCCAGGGCGATAAATAACATCGAAACTGCAGCATGATAGTTCGATTCTCCATCTCTGAATTTTATCATTTTTAGTTTTACCGCGGTGTCTCGAATCGAACATAAAGGTAACCGATTTTTTATCTGTCACCAGTCTGAAGTGCCTACCAAGCAAATAGTGGCTCCACTTCCGGATAGCTTCGACGATGGCGTTGGCCTCTTTCTCTACGGAAGAATGATGCTGTTCACTTGGAGATAGCGTTCTGAAAAAGAAGGCAACCGGCCTACGGTTCTGCGAGAGGGTAGCCGAAATAGCCACGTCTGAGGCGTCTGTCTTCACGACTAGTGGTATCTTCGGGTCGATGGTGGTGATGCCTGCGTGTTCTAGTTCGATTTTGAGCGTTTCAAAGGATATTCCGACGTCCTCTGGTAGGGGAAATGTGTTATTATGTACCAAGGGATGTATCTTGTCCGAGAATCGAGGAATCCAATGGGAGTAATATGAAAATAAACCGATTGCCCGGCGTTGCGATTTGAGATCTTTGGGAAGTTCTCGGAGTTGCTTTAATCGTTCAGGGTCCTGTTTCATCAAACTGTATGAGACTTCGTAATCCAGGAGTTTTACTTCTTTGGTACCAATGATACAATTTTCTTCGTTTAGAGTAAGCCTATATTTTCTAACAGCGTTGAAAAAATTCGTTAGATTTTTGTCGTGATCTTCTTTGTTCAGTCCGCACACTGTAATGTTGTCGATGTAGGCGAAGGTGCCCAACAAATTTTCCTCCCGAATGAGTTCATCGATTGCCCGCTGGAAGCAGGCGACACCATTAGTCACTCCAGAAGGTATTCGACAGAACTGGTACAGCTTGCCGAATGCTTCAAAGGCAGTGAATGGTTGATGTTTTGCTTCTATAGCGATTTGGTGGTATGCACTTCGTAAATCCAAGGCACTGAAGACAGCGTACCGTGATATTTTAGACACCATTTCGTCTATTCGCGGCAGTGGGTAAGCGTCCAACAGCGTGAAGCGATTATTAGTTTGACCATAGTAGATTACTATGCGTTTCTTGTGCCGTTCATTTATGGTTACAAGGACTTGTGTTCGCCAGGGTGAAGTTGAAGTCTCAATGATGCCCTCCTTAAGAAGACGACGAACTTCCGATCAAATAAATTTCTCGTCATCAGGAGTGTGGCAGTGTGATTTGATTGCAATGGGTTTACAATCCGGTAGCAAGTTCCCGAAGAGAGATGGTGGCTCAATGCGTGAAGCAGTTATGCTACAAAGAGAAAGAGTGGGTTTGTTACCCCTGAACGGAATTCAACTGCTTTGTGGAGTTTCAGAAAATCATGTCCCAATAATACATCCGGATACAACTGTGGGAGGACCGAGGTTCAGATTATCGTTTGAATTGTTCTTGAAGTTTATGATGATTAGGCAGTGACCTTTCGTGTGGCTAACCAATCTTGTGGATGCCATCAAGATTGTACTAGATGATTGCATAACATTTAGATGGTATCGTTTCACGAAGGATTCAGAAATATAACTTTCGGAGCTTCAACGGGGATCTTATTCACGGTGATTCTTACTAGTGGGTTAGAC